TCTTCTGACATCCATTTTGCTTTCTTCTTCTGTCTTTGTAATGACCTTTTGCATTCTTCCTGGATAATAATGTTATTATCTTCCCACAGCTCATCTAGGCTTCATTCAAGGCCTCAAATTTGTTCCTGAATTGGTTTTTAAATTCAGGTGACATAGCCTCAAGTCAAATATTTAATCTTGTGGATTTGATTTGACCTTCTTTAGATTTAATTTGGACTTACATATGAGTAGTTGATGATCTGTTCCACAATCAGCTCCTGGCACAGAGCTGGAGTCTGGTTTCAAATTTTGCGCCCTAATTTGTGACAAGAATCCCAGCACATCACACGTGGCAGAAAGCTGAGACCACTGTCTTGCCCCCCCTTCAGGTACCCCATTCTCCCAGGATCCTCTCAGCTTTGTTAACAACCAGCCTACCCAGGACAGACGGGACATTCAGTCCTATATCTTCATCAGAAACTCACCAATACCTAGTGTATTAATATTTATATATTCCATTTCTTTTCTTTAAAATGTCCAATTTTTCTACACTCATCATTCATGCTTCTCACATTTCCACATTCCAGTCACTAGTGTCTGTTTACAACTGTTCCTCCTCCTTTGTGTTTCCATATTTGAGGACTCAGCCTCCGTTACCATATCTGCTAGTCTACTCTAAGTGCTCTATTGTTCATAAGATTTTCTAGTTTTCAATTTTCTCATTCTGTTGAATCACCTTTCTTTGAGAATGGAAAAAAAAATATGGATCCATTCCAGTGAGTTGGCCAGATTTCTTGGGACAGTCTGGTGAGCATATCCTGGGATGCATCTGTTTGTTGAAACATGCCACCTGGTATCTCATCAATTCCTGGGGTCTTATTTTTTTGCCAGTGCCTTCAGTGCAGTGCAACACTAGCCACGTGTCTAGTAAATATGCCTTATTTAAAAAACTCTGGCTAAGGCTTATTGCCTGGAAGCAGAAGCGGTATCCACTTCTGAAATGGCTTGCCTCCGGAAACTCTATGTATGAACAGTGCTCAGGCCTTTCATTCATAGGGTCACTATGAGTTGTCTATGACTCGATGGCATCAAACAACAACAACGACGACAGAGAGCTACGTTGGTCTAGTGGAAAGAAGTTATGCTACCAAGCCGAAGGTGGGTGATTGTAATCTGCGGCCCTCAGGCTGGGTTCAAATTGCTTTCCTGTCAAACATTCTTCTAGGTGGTATAGCACTGGTCTGTATATTGCTGTATAGAGGTAACTCGTGGTTGTTGTGATGCTGAACACTGTGATACTGATGTGCCAAACATGGTAATGGTTACCCATGGTGGACAGTGTTGGCTGGAGCTTCCCCACTAAATCAAGCCTGGAAGCAGGAGTGGCATCCACTTCCGAAATGGTTTGCCTCCGGAAACTCTATGTATGAACAGTGCTCAGGCCTTTCGTTCATAGGGTCGCTATGAGTTGTCTACAACTCGACGGCACCTAACAACAACAACAACAACAAGGCTTATTGACGTCAGTGTGTAACAAAGATTAAAGTTTTTATCCGTTCTACATTGTCTGGTTGGGCATAGTGACAATATAAATTTACTGTGTTGTCAGTGCCCCTCTTCAAGTTAAAATCCTTTAAAAATTGACGATCTCTTCCTCTCCAATCTTCCTATCCCCAATCCAAACCCTATATCAAATCTATAATTTGATTAATTAAAAGGGCAAGTTGTAGTCAAGAGAGCACATTTTCTCAGAAAGTTTTCATGTCTTGGCCATTGATTTTGGTGGCACCACAAGTTGCTTCTAGAGTTGCTGTTGTTGTTGTTGAATGCCTTCAAGTCGAGCCCGACTCATAGCGACCCTATAAACAAAAGGCCTGAAGCCCCTCTACAACTATCAACATTTATTAAAGTTCTTAGAGTTTTCAGAAGCATGTTATTTAGGAAGTGGATGCCAGTCCTGCTTCCAAACCTGTCATAGTATGTTATTGTTGTTATGTGCCATTGAGTCACCTGCGATGTATAGTGACCCTATATGTACAGCAGCTCTGAACCCTTCCCTGTCCTGAGCCAGTCTAACTAATTCTGACACACCAACTCCCATTGCCCAGTTACTTTATCAATCCATCTCCTCTGGGGTCTTCCTCTCCTGAGCATGATGTCCTTCTCCAAGGACTGGTCTCTCCTGACCACATGCCCAAAGTAACTGAGGCAGAGCTTCCAAATTCTAGCCCCCAAGGAGAGACTTGATTTCACCCTCTGCAAGACAGACCTATTTGTTTTCTTGGCAGTCCAAGACTCTTCGCCAGCACAACTTGAAGGCATCTATTCTTCTTTTGTCATCCTTAGTCATTGTCCAACCTTGGTGTCATAGAACCTCCCCAATACTCAGACATTCTGATGCTCAGGAGTTCTTTAGGGAGATGGTGCCATTAGTCCAGAATCTTGCAGGAGGGACACGTGAGGATGGTTTGTGTTTTGTTTTGTTTTTTTTTTTTCCAAGTGTTTCTACACTCTTGGCACCAGCAGACAGGAAATCAAAGGACTAACTGCACTGGGAAAATCTATGGTCAGGGACTTTTCTGGAGTACTGACAAGCAATGATGTCAGTCTGGAAACTAAGGTACACCTAATCCAGTCTACAGTCTTCTCAATTACTTGCTATGCCTCAGAGAACCGGACAATGACTAGGGATGACAGAAGAAGAATCAGTGGCTTTGAGTTGTGGTGCTGGAGAAGAGTCTTGAACATACGATGGACCAACAAGAGAACAAACAGCTCTTTCTTGGAGATGGTGAAAGTTAAACTTCTCCTTGGAGGCTAGGATTTTGAAGCTCTCTCTCACATACTTTGGTCACGAGGTCAAGAGGGACCGATCCAATCAATAAGAGTGCATCTAAATTCCAAAATCAATCTCCATAATAGTCTATGTGTTTCCTACTGCCAAAGGGGCCCTTTAGAGTAGTGAGAGAAGATCTTCACCCTGAAACCCACAGCGTCCCTTTTCAGCAGGAAGTAGCTAAGAGAATACGCCATCCCCTTTCCCTTATGAATCAGGGTGAAGTCTCTCTCAGGGAGGAGTGATAGGGAATGGCAAAGGACACACCGACAAAGGAGATTAATCAGAACTGACTTTGACAAGCACTGTGGCAATTGGACAATTAAAACAGACATTCGGATGGCAGGGGAAGAAGAACAAACTGGGGAGGAGGGTAGAGAGAATGGTGCAGCAATGAAGGAATGAAAACCCAAAATCCCTGTAAATGTTCATTAAAACTAATAAAATTTAATAATTAAAAAAAAAGAGGGACTGATCCTTGGAAAAGGACATCATACTCTGAAGGGTGAAGGAAAGCACAGGAGAGGAAGACATGGGATGAAATGGATTGATACAGTAACTGGGGCAATAGGATTAGGTGTATCAGAGTCTGTGAGACTGGCTCAGGATTGGACAGGTTTCAGAGCTGTTGTGCAAAGAGTCATTATGAGTTGCAGGTGACTCGATGGCATATAACAACAGCAATAACCATAACCAGGAATTCCAACATCAAGAGAGTCATTGGGTCAGATTCTTGGAATGTCAAAAGCACCCTTTGGATCCCACCATCATCCCTGTGATTTTAAGCAACTGCGACCAAATCCAGGTTGAGTAGAAGGTGCTCTACTTAGAGAATCGGAATCCAGAAGGTGCTCTACTTAGAGAATCCAGGCTTCTACCTGGAGGAAAGGTTAGTAGCAGCTCACTTACATTAGGGAGAATCTATGCAAGTCTTTAAGTCTATCAAATCTGTGCAAGTCTTTCCCCGTCTATTGAAGAACTAAACTCTCCCTGCTAACATAAGGTTTGAATGGCAGGTACAAGTTGCTTCAGGCTAAGTAAGAAGACTTACATTTCCCCTCCTCACCCTCAACACACAGATCTATGCACCCTCTTTCAGTAGCTGCCTTTATAAGTATACATCATTTTAGTTTCTTCGCTTTATTCTATTTCATAGATACTGTGCTTTTAAAATAATGGGCTCGCGCACAGCAGAGATAATGACAATGCAGAATAGAGCAAGGTTCAGATCTGTTTTTCATAGTGTTGCTAAGAGTCATAGTTGACTTGATGACACCTGTCAACAACAATTTACTTCTAAGAAACCCGAGTTACTGAGGATGAAATGTTGCCCAAACATTAAATCCACGCAGGAATCTAGCGCAATTTCTACTTTCCTCAGCGAGCCTCCACTTTTCTTAATTTTTTTACTTTAGTCCGCTTAATCCAGTCTCTAATGTACCTTCTGGAACTTGTTCACATAGAACATCCCCTTTTCCAGTTACCATCAGCTGACCTACTATTGCTGAATTACGTAGACTAAGTCCACTTCTCTTTCCATCTCATTGTCACCGTGTCCTACCAACGCTGTCTTGAAGATAAAAACCCTGTGAAGCGTACAGAATTCGTTTCTGAGGGATCAGTAACATCTACTTGCAAATGTGAAATAATTTTCACAAGACTGAAATAGATTTAGAAGAATTAGCCTGCATACCAAATGAGCGTAAGCCTAGACAGCGTCCCAGCATTACACACTGAGCACTGCGGGCGGAAATTTCCCGCTTTCCTACGTCAACCCAGCTTGCCCGGAACCTTTTACGCTGAATCTCATGCAGCCTGACGGGCTGATTCTGGTGAACACATAACATAGCGAGGTTTAGTAGTCAAATTACCTGCCTGAAATTTCTAGCTAATTTACATCATCCTGAGAAAAACTGCGTTAAACTCTTGCACTTTTTAAATTACCGAGTAATGATACAACTTTTATCTATCAAAAAATATCTTAATCAAATGTATTTAAGTTCGTTTTATTTTTTTTCTAGTTAGGCATATTTTTGGATAGCCGAGTTGAGATGAATAGGGAAGGCGGGGGAAAGAAAGCGGAAGCAGAGGGCCTTCTAGGACCGAAAGTCTCCGGTGCTTGCGCCTGTTTATTCGCAATACTCTTCCCTCCTTAGACGCGGGCCTTGCAAGCAGGTTGGGGGGGAAGGCGTTGCTACCGGAGCGGAGAGTAGAGGCGGCCCGAGTCCGCAGGCATGAACCTCGAGTTGCTGGGTGAGGAAGGTTATGATTGCCGCTTAGAGAGTACTTTGGCCCTGGAAAGGAAGGAACTCGGGAAGAGGCGCAGGGCTGCAACCTTGGGGGAGTAGGTCTACTCATCCGGCGTCCTTGATGTGAAACAGCCTCAGCAGAAGCCCAGCTCCTGCCTGAGCAGAGTATGAAGCGTACTGTCGTAACCGAGGCCGCTATCAGATTAGTTGTGGAGCGAAGGGTTAACCTGCGTGCGACTGAATTCTGTTTGCAAGTAGTGCAGGTTGCAGAGGTTTCCCACAACAGACGGGGCAAAAGTTGTTGGAGAAGAAACCTGAAGAAAAGTGAGACTTGAGCTGAAGCTAAGACTTTGCAGAACAGTGAATGCTTGGGCAGGCTAAATTCTTTCGTAGACGTGAATATCTAAGGATGAAAATTTAGAAATATTTAGGTAGCAGTACCTCTTTGAATTGATGAGACGAAACGAAGAGGGGAGGGTGTAGAAGACACCAGGCAACTTAATGGCATACATGGCATGGACATTCTGTTAGCAGAACTTCCTACTTAAATACCAGGGACGATGGGGTAAAATACTGAAGTGTGAACGGCTGAGGCATTTATTTGTCTTGTCCTTCTCTGGTTGTTATTTCCTCCTTGCCTTTACCCCAGCTCGTTTAAAAGCTGTAGAACTTTCTGAGTTTTCCTTAGGTGAAATTTAGCATGGTGATCCAAAGATGTCTGGAAAAGTATTCAAGAATCTCTAAATGACTTTCTGTCTTTAGGAATCAAGGCTTTAAATAAAACTCATTGCTGTCCAGTCAGAACAGACTCACAGTTGACCCTTCAGTGGATTTTCAAACACTGTAAATCACTGAACGATGCTTGCTCATCTTTCTCCTGAGTAGTATTTGTTGGATTCGAACTGCATGTCTCTGGGTTGGCAGCACAACTCCCTATCCACTAGGCTACTAGAGCTCAGTAAGAAAGAATAAATGGTCATGAATAATAATAGTAATCCTAATAAATTATATAGTACTTAATATGAGTTAGACGTTGTTTTAAGTGCCTTTTCTTTATACATGTGGAGGTAGGGCAGAATCTGGTTTGGCATGGAAGTGATAGACGCCAGTTGTATGGCAGTTAAGGCTGAGAGTTAACTGAGGATCAGAGAAAGAGAGGAAGATCATAAGATAGATTGGTACAGTGACTGCAACAGTGGACTTGAGTATATCACAGGTGTTGAGGATGGTGCAGGATAGAGAATGGTTCAGATCTGTTCTTGGGATTGCTGTAAATTGTAGTTGACTCAGCAGCACATAGAAACAACAGCAGCTGGATTTCTGAGACTTTAAGAGAGGAGACTGCTTGTCTGTCTTCGGCAAACTAGCTAGTGGATTTGAACTGTTGGCCTTTCAGTTAGTAGTCTAACACACTATACACTAAACCACCTATTTTGATGCCCCTAGTTAGTTTATTACTTAAATGAGTATCTTTTTTTTTTTTAATCTTATTTTTTTTTAGGGGCTGTGATAAGTGATACTATTTTCCTGAGTTTCCTTTTCAGAGTTCTCAGTGTGAAGAAAGCATATTGATTTTTGTGTGATGATCTTGTAAAAGTTGATCCCTATGAAGTGGAAGTTAGACCTGCCTCTTCCTTTTCAGCCTTTTTACCACCTCTGACACCAGCTGTTCTTTTCTTTTTCACTTTTACGTCTCTGCTGAGTTCATTGCAGTGGTCACACAGAAGTGACAGACAGTATTCACAATTAAGGGGTTTACTAAGGAGCCTTGGTGGCAGTGTGTGTTATGTTTAGGACTGCTAACTGAAAGGTCAGAAGTTTGAATCCACCAGTTATTATGAGAGAAAGATGAAGCCATCTTCTCCCACAGAGATTCATTTACAATCTTAGAAACCCATTGGATAGGGGATTTATTAGAATACTAACAGGTTCAGGAACAGAAATGACTCGGAATACATTTTCTTTGATCAAGATGGCACTATGTACAAGTCTGCCTCTGGTCTTCATCCTTACCTTAGTTTCTGCCTTTCTTGGGCAAGAGTTAACAATGCCCTTTAGCTCTGCCAGTAAGTGCCCACAGATTCCCCTGCACCTCCAGGACACCTTGGCCTGAAGATAACATGAAGGTGTGCAGACCCTGTGGGTCAGCAGACCTCGCTTCATCATGATTTCTCATTTTGTCAGCAGGGAGACTGCTCCAGAATGCTCAGCTTTCTTGCTTCGTGGCCCAGGATGTCCACTGTGTTGCCTTCTGATGTATATGTATATATTTTTAATTTTATTTTACTGTGATTTTAGTGAAAGTTTACAGAAAGCTTGGGTTTTTAGTCATTCATTGATTCACGTTTTCCTCTTTCCCTCTCCCCCAATTCACTTTTTTTTTTTTTCATGGAGTTTTGTTTCTTTTGTGTTTTTTTTTTTAAAATTTTTTAATTATGTGTGTGTGTGTGTGTGTACGTACCGTCAAATCGGATCTGACTGATACAGGAGGAGATTGTCCCTCCTTTCCCAGCAGAGCATCTGATGGATTTGAACTGTGTGCCTCTGGGATTGCAGTGCAGCTTCTTGCCACTACCCAATTCACTTTATAATGCACATCTTGCCAAATTGATAATTATCATAGATATACTTGCCTAATCATCCATTCTTTTTAGATAGTCCTTGCCTTCATTATCTGTCCATCCTCCTCCTTTGTCTCTGGGATGTCTCATTTGAAATCTGTGTTGTTTGGCACTGTATTTTTAATTTTTTTTTAAAATTTAACCTTATAAAAATGAGTTTTTAACATTTTCACTAGTTTTGTAAAATATGGGCAAAATGCAATAAAATTAATTTTCATATCCTTTTTTAAAGCTCCAGTCTTCCTTTTAATTTTTATTTGAATGCTTGATCTTTAAAGCACCTTCCTTCGACCCTTAGCTCTCAAGCATAATTTAAAAACCACTGTAATAAAATATTAAGGGAATTATGTAAATAAATACTGACAAAAAATAGTATGGCTGCCAAAGTTAGATTTCTGTTATCTTCTCCATGTAGCTTGAAATAGTTTTTCTTGTACAAATAGCATTTAATATAGGAAATACATTTAGGAATTTGGGCAAAGTGTTATTTGCTCAGGAAATTAATTTTGAGAATTGAGTATTTAATAAACTGGTAGACTGTGTTACAGTCTAAATGGTTTATCTGAAAGGTTTCAAAGAGTGGCTGGAGCTTTATATAATGTGGTTAATTTGATTCTTACATTTCCTTTTGCTTCATTGTAGTAAATATGGAAATAAATTGTCAACAGTCCAAAAGCATGAATATTGCTTGACTGGGATATGGCTGCACTTTTCAGAATTTTGGTCTTAGGACCCCTGTCTACTCTTGAAAACTTCAGAATTTCAAATCATTTTTGTTTATGTGGCTTTTATCTTTCCCCGCTTACTAATTTAGAAATTAAAAGTGAGAAATATTTGAAACTTGTTATTTAAATGTCACCATTGTAAAAAAAAACCTGTCACCATTGTAAGCCTATTAATGGTTTATAGAAATAACGTGCTCTTATGAAAAATAACTACCTTGTAAAGCAAAGACATGGAAGCAGGAGTGGTATCCACTTCCTAAACAACATGCCTCTGGAAACTCTATGAACTTTGAGAAATGATAGTTTTCGAAAGGCTTCAGGTCTTTTGTTCACAGAGTTGCTATGAGTCATGGTCCACTCTAAGGCAGTCAACAACAACAAAGCAAAGAATGTTTAGTGAGAAGGATGATAATTATTTTACAAATAATTACAAATGTCCTTCGTGTGTACATTTGTAAAATTTGGCTGGGTTCATATTTCTGTTTCTGAATTTAGTCTATTGCCATATCACAGGTCGTGTAACCTCTGCAGAAGTCATCTGTATCCTTAGGAGAGAATGAGAGTGAATACTGTTTTACAATTCTGATGAAAATAGCCTTGGCTTCTAGGAGCCTCTGCAAGGGCCTCTTAGGCCGGGACCCCATACTTTGTGAACTGCTACTCTCTACTGTTCAGATTGTATAATCCCTAGTATGTTGCAATTGCTCCATCAATTCTCTTTCTTTGCTTTGTTGCAGAGTCCTTTGGGCAGAACTATCCAGAGGTAAGAACACGACATTGTTGTTATTTTAGGAACATGATAATTACGTAGTGTTTATGTTTGAGAGAAAATGCATTTTGAGCCTTGATTTTTGACACCAAGGTGATAACACTTTTTGCTGTCATGAGAAATTAAGTGACTAGGTAGCTTTGGCTTGATCTCTTATTGTAACAGTTTAAACCTTGTATAGTTCATTTAGGGAGCACTGGTGGCTTACTGGCAAGAAGCTGTGCTACAATCCTGAAGGCACATGATTTGAATCCACCAGCTGCTCCACGAGATATGGATGATGGGCAGTCTCCTCCTATGCAATTAACTGTCTGAAACCTGCCAGAGGGTCAGCTGTGGGTCAGTTCTGACTTGATGGTATACAACAACAGCCGTAGTTCATTTATCTCTACATTTAAAAAGGTAACTTAAAAAAAAAAATACGAGGCCTTTGTCTGTACATAGGTTTTCCTAATTTTGATTTGTTTTTTCTGTCGTAGTTTACATGTTATATGTATTCTACTTTTTGAAATGTGAAAGTGTATTATACACTTGAATATATTTATTGTTGTTGTATAGCATTGAGTTGGAACCAACCCACAGCTGACCCTCCAGTGGATTTTCAGACTGTATATTGCATGGGAGGAGATTATCCGTCTTTTTCCTGTGGAGCAGCTGGTAGATTAGAACCGTATGCCTTTGGAATTGCAGCACATCTTCTTACCACTTGGCCACTAGCGTTCCCTATATTTGAAGATATTTAAGCACATTATTATGGTTGTTTGAAATGTCTTAATATTGATGTAAAATAATTTTATTTCCCTTAGTTGTGCATAAGAGCCCTGGTTATGTAGTGATCAAGTGCTCTGCTGTTAACCCAACGATCAGCAGCTTGAACCCACAGGTTGCTCTTTGGGAGAAGGAAGGGGCAGGCAGTCTACTTCCATAAAGGCTGCAGCTTTGCAAACCTCCTGGGGCAGCTCTGCCCTCCCCTTCAGTGTAGCTATGATATGTTACACATATAGGCCAATTTCCAAAAAGTTTGGTTTCTGGGCCAATGAATTAAATTATTTAAATGACTTCTGTTATAGTTTCCTCATTTGCCCTCCACACTGTTTTTCAAAAATTATATGGCTATGTAAGGAATCATGCACAATCTTCTAATTCTTCTGTTGGTTTTTTATGTCCTCGTAATTAAACCATAATTGGTATAAAAGGACACATAGAAATAGTTTTGATATGTTGTTGTTGTTATGTGTCATTGAGTCGCTTGTGACTCATAGCGACCCTATGTACAACAGCCCTGAATTCTGCTCTGTCCTGTGCCAATCAAACTGTCTCCGACACACCCATCCCCATTACCCCCGTCACTGAATCAGTCCACCTCATAGAGGGAGGGCCTTCCCCTCTTGCGCCTACCCTCCACTCTCCCAAGCAAGATGTCCCTCTCCAAGGACCTGTCCCTCCTTACAGTATGTCCAAAGTATGTTAGACGGAGCGTCAGAATCCTTGCCTTCAAGGAGCCACCTGGTTTACCCCTCTCCTGGATGAATCTGTTTTCCTAGCAGTCCATGGTATCCTCAATACTCTTCTCCAGCACCACAGCTCAAAGGCATCGATTCATTCTCCTTCTATCTTCCTTAGTCATTGTCCAACTCTCTGATGTATAACAAGTGATTGCAAAGACCATGGCCTGTATCAGACATACCTTAGTCTCCAGAGAGACACCATTGCTCTTCAGTACTTTGGAGAGGTCCCTAATAGCAGACTTTCCCGTCGCAATACGTCTTAGTTTTGGTATACGTTACAGTTTAAACTCGAGACAGGTTGTTACTGATAGAGACCTCTCTAAGAAGTAAATTGGACGCTTCGCTGTTGTCCTTATTGTATTCATTTTCATCTTTAGGAAGCAGATGGGACTTTGGACTGTATCAGCATGGCCCTTACTTGCACCTTCAACAGGTGGGGCACACTACTTGCAGTTGGCTGTAATGATGGCCGAATTGTCATCTGGGACTTCTTGACAAGAGGCATTGCTAAAATAATTAGTGCACATATCCATCCAGTCTGTTCTTTATGGTAAGGAATTTTTTTCTGCTAATAATAGGAAGATTTTATACTCGTGATAAGTTAATGAGTTTGTGTCAAGAAAGAAAGTGACTGTATTACCAGCCACACTGTTTATTTTAGCTGATATCTTTTTCTTTGTAAACTCAAAAAAGAAAGGTAGTGGGTTGGTTTATATACTTACTCTCCACAAATATTAAAAGTTACTTCCTACTGTCCACTTGCCTTTGGGTTGACAGTGCAACTCCTTACCACTTGGCCACCTAAATACTTCAAGTCTTTCTGAATTTTATCCATAAGTATGTACAATAAAGAATGCTAGAAAAATTAAAAAAGAAAAAGTTACTTCTTACTATTATTGTAGGTAGAAAAGAGCCATCATGATTCTAAATTACATAAAGTCTCATCATTAAAGATGCTACATTTAGTTGTACCATGTTGAACATGATGAGGATGGTACAGAATGGGGCAAGATTCCAATATGCTGTTCTTAGGGGCAGTCAACTTGATGACACCTAACAACAGTAACAGTTATTTAATTGTACTCTTTGTCAGTGTGCTGTATGAGGTAACCTGGGTTTGCTGTGATGCTGAACCTTGTGCCATGAGGATATCAAATAGCAGAATGGCTTCTCAATGTGGACAGTGTATGGTGAAGCTCCCAGTTATAAAACTGGTTGGGAAGCAGGAGTGGCATCCACTTCCTAAACCACATGCCTCTGGAAACTCTGTGAACTTGGAGAAACAGTGATAGCTATGGAAAGGCATTAGGTCTTTTTTTTTTTTTTTTTTAAATTTTTTATTATTTTTGTGTGAGTGTACCATCAAATCAGATCTGACTGGTACAGGAGGAGATTGTCCCTCCTTCCCCGGCAGAGCATCTGGGGGATTCGAACCGTGCGCCTCTAGGATTGTAGTTGCAGCTCCTTGCCACTAGGCTACCAGAGCTTCCCGGCATTAGGCATTAGGTCTTTTGTTCGTAGAGTCACAATGAGTCAACTTCGACTCAACGGCAAACAGCAACAATAATATGAAGAAATAGTGGCTAGATCTTTGCTAATTTAAGTGTTATTGTTGATGTGTACTATAGAGTCTTCTCTCCATCTATCATGAAGCTGCAGATTGTCCCAGTGGTGAGAATCTTTGTTTTCTTGATGTTGAGGGTCAATCCATAGTAAAGACTTACAGTCTTTGACCTTTTGGAACCAATCCATAGCAGACCCTCCTGTGGGTTATCAGAGGCAGTAAATCACACTGGAGGAGATTACTCATCCTTTTCCTGCAAAACAGTTAGTGGCCTCGAACCATGTGCTTTTGGGATTGCAGCCCAGAGTCTTGCTACTAGGCCTCCAGAGCTCCTTTAAGTATATATATATATATATATATATATATAGTGTCAATGTATGTATGTACTTTAATATTTACAGATTTAAGTATTCAAGCACTAGTAATATAATTTCTTACAGTTTAAATGTGCCCTAAATGCATGCTGTACCTTGACACACTTTTGCAGGGAGAAATTCAGTGTAATACGGTATGGACCTATATCAGGCTTTTGCTGAGACTACTTAAATCTTGAAGACAGATATTTACAAATAAAATAGTTACATATCACATGTAGTGATGTGAGCTACAAGATCTGTGGTTCAAATCTACCAGCTGCTCCAGGGGAGAAAGATGAGCAGTCCCCTCCTATTAAGATTTATAGCTTTGGAAACTCTATGGAGAGTCACTGTGAGTTGTAGGTTTATTTGCAAATTACAGCCTGTGGAATAATTTCAATAATTGACATTTTATTTAGAATTTAAAAATCTGAGTGTTACGAAGTTTGACAGGCATCTGGTCTATTCTTGTGCAGATTTATCATGGATTCCAGCAATTTCAGTGATTACACGTGTGCCTGTTCCTTCACTGAACTAAAGATATTAAGAGCACTCTATTAAATATATGGTACTAAAATCTGCTGCTACATATATTCTTATTACATTCTTGTTCTTTTTTTTTTCTATTTTATTTTGTTAATTTTAATGAACATTTACAGAGATTTTGGATTTCCATTCATTCATTGTTGCACCATTCTTGTTCTTTAAAACAACCTTTTGCATCAAAAATTTTACTTTGGACACCACTTTTTTTTAAAAAAAAAAATGAATTTTATTGAAGCCCCCAAAAAAGCACTTGATCACATACAGGTTTATGAAACTATAAATATTTCCCTTTTTTTAAATGATCACAACAGTAGTACCCTAAGGGACCAAGAGTGGCACTGTCCCTCTTTACACTTACTGTCCTCTTCTTTTTTTAAAATTATTATTATTGAAATGTTAACGTGTATAGGGACTTTGGATTTCTATAGATTCATTGTTTTGCAGACTGTCCCCTTCTTGAGGTGGCTACATAATAAATTCAAACAGTAGACAGAAGCTGGAACAGAATGTAAGGATTTTTAAGATGATGACACATTGGATTTGGTAAATATATTTGTCTTCTGTCAAATCTACAATGCATAATCCTTGATAGAATTTGAAATTGAAGAATAAATATTTTTAAATGGAATAACCTCTTGTTTTTAACTTACTCGGTGCAGAAGAATTTAGTGAAGAATAAAATGACAGCTAACATTTTTTTCTGCTTTCTTTAATGATGCTAAAAGAACAGCAATAACTATTCCTTGTTTTCCCCATTTCCAGTCTTGTCACACAGCCGGTGTGCTTCCATCTCAGGGGTGGGAGGGAGCACTGTTTCTTCTGATGGCTATCTTCATATATCTAAATAATACGTATATTGGTTTCTCTTGATGTCTAATTTATCTGTGGTCCTCTTATTTCAATACATAAATTTTAGCTCATTTGCTTCCCTTCCTGGAAATGGGGTAGTCAGCTGCCTCTTTTGTGTGTGTACCCTGAATTTTAGCATCAATGGGCTATTTGCCGAGGGATCATATTCTTAAGAAGGGTCCTTTGCCTTCCTGAGCCTCACTGTAGCCTGTGGGGGAGAAATGCTTGAACCTTTAGCACTCACACTTCAACTTGATCCTATATCTTCATTTCCTTAGCTTCCTCCTACCTTCCTCTGTCCCTAGATCTGAATCTGTCCATTCATTCTTATTGTATCTGATACTAGTAATTATTAATGTGCCCTGTGAATTGGGCTAAGAGGTGGGTTTTTTAATTTAATTTTAGTATTTTGTGTGTATGTATCATCAAATCGGATCTGACAAGTATAGGAGATTACTCCTCCTCCTTCAGCAGAGCATCTGGTGGATTGAACCGGGTACCTCTGATTGCAGTGCAGCTTCTTGCCACTAGGCCACTGGGCTAAGAGTTTTATATATGTAAACTTTGATGGGTTTTTTTTTTTTCACAATTCAAAATTTTTATTTCAGAATTCAATTTTTTTTCCCTTTTTTTTTACTAGTTTTAATGAAAGTTTACAGAGACTTTGGATTTCCATTCATTCATTGTTGCACTTTTCTCCCTGCCCACCCCTCATCCCCAGTTCACTCTTCTCTTTGAAAAGTAAAAGAAAAATACTTTCACTGTTATACAGTCCTTCCTCCCAAGTCCACCCTACTATGCAGCCTTCGTTCTGGACTCCTGTCATGACAATAATAACCTAATCATATGTTGTTGTTGTTGTTATGTGCCATCGAGTCGCCTGTGACTCATAGTGACCCTATGTACAACAGCCCTAA